CGGCCGTCATTCGGCGGTTGGTTGGGTGAGAGTTGGAAACATGTTGGTTTTCCCTTCCCAAGTGTTGGTTTTCCCTTCCCAAACGAGCCCGTTTCCGCCGCCGTGGCCGCCGCCGCTGCTGCAGTGCCGCGCGGTGAACTGTCCGGGACGTGACAAAGGGCTCGGTGAGCCGCCCGCTGATGAGAAGAGGAACGGCTTCCGGCTTCCAGCTCTCGCTGTCCCTGGGCTCCTCTTGCTCACACACCGGCCTCTTCCCGTGGCCAGCACTCCGCGGGGCCCTGGGCACCCCTCCTTCTGCCGATGTCCATCACGGGGCCCCAGCCTCCTGGGAACCAGGATTCTCTGGCCTGGGGAGGAGACGGGAGGAACAGGTGGCATTTGGAGATTAATTAATATTTGTGAATAATAGCGTGTGCCCGAGGGAAACAAATCAATCTGTGTTTGCATATTCACAAGGAGGTCAGGAGGGTCCCAGCTGTGCTCCAGCCAGGGGAAACCACCCCCACCTGCCCCCCATCTCTGGCGGCACGGGGTCTCCTGGGGGCGTGGCTCTAAGGCCGACAGGGGTGGCTCGTTGGGCTGCGTGGAGGTGCCGTGACCTCTGTGTAACGTGCATTTCCATGGCGATCGTATTGAGTCCCGTGGCTTGGTGTGGTGCCTGCTCTTCCTTCCTTCTCCCTCAGAGCAGTGACTCCCAGCGCCTTTGATTTCATAAACCAGTGCAGTTTCCAAAAGCACTTGGGGGCCAGGCATGAGGTTGGCAATTATTTTATTTTGCCAAATAAGGACGTTACTTTAAAAAATAATAATAATAGTAATAATAATTGCTATCTGCTACCACCATCATTCCGTTCCAGAAAGGACATTTTAAAACCAAGGACAACGTTTGAGAATAAAGGACAGCTCTTCCCGAGAAAGGGCAGTTGGCAGCTTCACACTGACGTAGCAAAGAAAAGGGATACGTTAAAACCCAGCTGAATGTAGGGAAATGGCATTTAATTCTATTCTGCAGCCTCGTACAGCATGGAGCTGGTTTTCCTGTCCACGTCCGCGCGTTAGCACCGATGGCCCCCGGCGCCGTTCGGAGATGCGCCCGAGTGTGCACGTGCTCAGGCCTCGTTGCCTCTCAGGTGTTGGAAGCCCAGGCTCACCAGCCAGCCGCGGTGGCGGGAGTGGCTCTGCTCTTCACATGGTTTCAGTAGGTTCTCTGCAGCCCCTTCGAGGCTGGCCTCGGCCCCTCTCTGCTCCTCGCCCGCCTTTCCCCCACAGGTGGCGGGTGACCCTGAGCACTCTGGAGTGGGGGCCGTCCGGGGGTTGGGGACTCTTGATGAGGGGGCCCCGGAGCTGGGAGTGGCCTGCACCACCTGACACGGGACAGGCTCTGTGCCCAGAACCAGGGGATAGGGGGGAGGGAGGCTTGCTCATGCCACGAGCTGGTGAGAGAGAAGCCCTGCTTCGGACAGCTACGTGGCTGCCTGAGTAGTTCCCTGAGAACGTGCCTGTGTGTGTGTGTCCGTACCTCCCCTCTCTGGGCAGCCATGTCCCTGCACCCATGGGCCGCTGGAGGAGAGCTCTGGGGAGGGAAGGTCTTTTCAGTTTCTCCACTTTTGTCTGTTGTGCTTTCTGGATCTGAACAGTGTCATGTGTGCGCTAGACCCAGAAACAGGAAGGGTCCTGGAGCCCCCAAGTAAGAGCCACTTGTCTTTTGTCACATCCGGATGCAGCTGCTGGAAGCCCAGGTGCTCTGACACCGTGGCCAGAATCTCATCCAGCATCGTCCCTCGTGCTGTCTGCTCTGGAGTTACATCCCCGTGGGGGCTATGTTATAGACACAGAACCCTCTCTGTCTATACCGGGTGACATCTCTGTGATAAGAGTACTGCAGAGTAACACAACGGCAACGTCTGCCAGGCAACTGCGTCCCATGACGGGTGGGGCCTCTACGCCATGTTGGTGTCCGGACTAGACAGCTCTCCCTCTGGGATGTCCGCACCAGGGCGTTACGTTGCTGTGTGCACCAGGACAGCCTCTGGGATAATGATATTGGGGAGTTACCTCTCGGGGTGACTGTGCTGGCTAATTGCACCTTCGTAATACCCGTTTTGTGTAGTTTCATCCCCTTTCTGTCCAAACCAAGGAGCTAAGCTCCCAGGATTTGTGTTCCTCGGGGTGAAGTCCCTGTGCTGTCTGCACCGAGGGGGCTCACCCCGGCTGCTTTTCCCGAGGTTAAACCCTTGTGAATGTTGTGCTGTTGCCCCCATGATGTCTGTGGAAGCCCGTCTCCCTGTTTTTTGGTGCAACACTCCCCGAAGCTGTGAGCCGTGACCTCTTCAGAGAGATGACAGCTTCGGGGAGTGTTGCACCAAAAAACAGGGAGACGGGCTTCCACAGACATCCCGGGGACTCCAGGATGGTTGTGTCGGGACCCTACCTGCCCGTCAGTCTGACGGGGCGTTTCGCCCCCTGATGGCTGCTGGGATGTGGACTTCTGCTGTTGGCTGCACCGCTGAACACAGTGCCAGGATGACCGAGCCCAGACCGGGCTCTGTGATAGTGACCTCCCGTCCCCCAAATGGCCATGCGGGGAGGGTATCATGGTGGGGGCTCCCTCTCCCGGTCTCAGCCACCGGAGCTGTGTGACCGTGGAGCAGAATCCCAGGTGGTGCATAGATGGGGCTGGATGCCCATGTACCCCTGTCAACTTCCTCTCACTGCTCAGCCCCTGTCTCAGACTTCTGGCAAGATCCAGGACAAGGGACATCTCCCATCCACTTCCCTTTGTGTTCAGCCCCTTCCACTTCGCAGTCCTGCTTGCTTGGATCCAGTCCCTTTGCCCACCTACTGCACTCTGATCTCGGGGCCTTTGGCTTTCTCAGCTGAGGCTAGGGTTCGAGTTCTAGGGAGCAGTAGAGCCGCCTTCGAGTCCTGTCCTATCGTGTTCACCTCTGTGAAGGCCTCTTACTCTCTCCCTGTAGTCCTGTCCCCGCTCCTTGCAAATTTTTTTAAAATTTATTTTTTTCCCTTATTTTTTTTTATTAAATTATTATCTATGTACATATCTTACCATTGCCCCCCCCCCATACATACCCTCCCTCCCCAGAGTTTTGTGTTCATTGGTTGTACCTATATGCATGTATACAAGTCCTTCGGTTGATCTATTATCTCCCCCAGATCTCCCTCCCCTCCCCGCTGTAATTTGACAGTCTGCTTGTTGCTTTACTGTCTCTATATCTATCTTTTGGTTCATCAGTTTATGATGTTCTTTATTATCCATAAATGAGTGAGGTCATGTGGTGTTTCTTTCATTGACTGGCTTATTTCACTCAGCATGATGTTCTCCAATGCCATCCAGGTTGCTGCAAATGATGAGAATTCCTTCTTTTTTATGGCAGCATAGTATTCCATTGTGTAGATGTACCATAGTTTTTGGATCCAATCATCTGCTGACGGGCACCTAGGCTGTTTCCAAATCCTAGCTATTGTAGAGCAAATTTCTTATTGTGGGCCAGCTGTGACCACAACTCTGCCGCCAGACCCGGCGCCTCCCACTGCAGGGCCGCGAGCTGTGCTCACCATCACTCGCTCCCCCTCCATGTGCGGTGGCATTCTTAGAGCACCGGTGAGGGACGGAGGTGCCAGCCCCTGCCCAGAGGAAAGCAGAAACAACGCGGGTGGTCCCTGATGTGCACCCCTGAAGCCCTCTCTGGGGGGGGGGCCTGGAAGGGGCCCTCAGAAGCTCCCCCTTGGGGCTGGGCCACGAGAGCTGTGCCATCTGTACCGCGTGGTGTGAGCAAAGGCCGGAGGTGTTCAGGGAGCCCCACGTGTGATCTTCCCCCTGCACAGGTTCCTGTCTGTGTGGGTGCGACTTTGGAGCCTGTGGCTCTGTGACGTTTGCCCGTGGCCCTGCTGGGACAAGAGCAGAGGGGGTACGGGTTGGATCCAGGGTTCAGCACCCCCATTCCCGGCCACGAGGGCCTCCCTATGGTTTCCCATTGGAATGGGGAGGTGCCGCGGGGATCGGCAGGACGGGGGTGGCCAGGTGGGCAGCTGCAACTTGTCTAGAGCGTGTCCCGGCGAACCCGGACCGGTTGTGGCTTTGACTCCTGGATCCTATCAGCCATCACTATCAAGTGTGCGCTCAGGTCTGCACTCAGCATGTGGGGTCTGGCCTCCTGCCTGTTCCCTCCCTGCGGAGAGAGGAGGGGGAGCAGGGTGCCCAGGGGCTCTGGGGCCCCTAGCCTCTGTGGGTCTGCTAACTTCGCCCTGATCTCTGTCTCTGCCCTGTCGTGTGCAGCCTCTGTATCTCTGACCCCGTTTCCCTGTCCCTGTCCCTTAGGAAGGCCAATTGGGAAGGCAGGCTCCGGGATGGAGCATCCCTGCACACTGTTTGATTTCATTAGTCCCTGCCCCCTGCTCAGGTTTAGGGAATGACCTGAAGGCCTCTTTTTATTATTATTATTATTTTATTTTATTCATTTTTTTTTTTTTTTTTTACCGAGAGGAAGAGAGAGGGATAGAGAGCTAGAAACATCGATGAGAGAGAAACATCCACCAGCTGCCTCCTGCACACCCCCTACTTGGGATGTGCCCGCAGCTAATGTACATGCCCTTGACCGGAATCGAACCTGGGACCTTTCAGTCCACAGACCGATGCTCTATCCAATGAGCCAAACCGGTTTCGGCCTGAAGGCCTCATTCTCTCTCTCTATAGTGTGACTATTGGGCTATTTGAAGGGGGATGGGGTCACTGGAGGGTCAGTGAGCAGCCTAGGTGGTCACAGGGGTCAGAAGGTGATCATTGAACAGTACAAGGGGGTATCTGTTGGCCTGGGCTCCGGATGGTCCGTGAGGATGAGCAGGTGTCTGGGTGGTAAGGCCAGGAGGTGGCATGGGTGGGCAGTAGGGACATGGGTGGGTAAATAACAGCTAACGAGCTCACCCTTCTCTCCGTCACAGGTCGATTGTCCTGGGCTGCGGCTGGCTGTGGCGCTGGACTCTGGATGGCCCCTGGACCAGCACCAGGGAGGAGGATGCTGCCCCTTGTGTCCGCACTCGTGATGCTTGGTTTGATGGCCGGCGCCCACAGCGACAGTAAGTCTGACCCTTCCAGGGGTGGGATCTCCCAGCTCTAAAGATGGTGCCCCTCCTTGCTGGGCTCTGGGATGGGACAGGACCAGCTACCAGGAAAGAGACAGGATGGCTGGATACCCCTCCAGACCTTCCGTCCTAGAAAGAACCCCCCACCCGGAGAGCCCCCATCCATGCTTGCTGGGTGCGTCCTGGGGAATGCCGCGTGTCCCCTAAGGCCCTGCAGGACTGGGCCCGTCGGAGTGCTATCCTGTTTTATGGGCTGACGGTAAGACATGTCCGAGACTCATGTGGTCACTGGGTGACATGCTCAGGCGTGTACGGTGGCCGCCGCTGCAGATCTGTGCAGAAGGCCCAGCAGGAGCCATGTCGGGGGTTGGCGTGGGAATGGGGCGGGTGATGCACGAGGAATGTGAATGAACATGGAATGCCACTTGTATCCACAGACACAGAGGGGGCTCAGGAGGCAGAGCCATTGTAGCTCTTCCCTGGGCTGGACCCTGGGAGATGGAGGTGCGGAGACGCTGAGCCCCTCCTTCCCCTCAATCTTCCAGACAAAGGGGCATCTCCTTCTCCCCCGCCCTCTGCACTTGCCCAGGAGGAAGTGGGGCTCCAGCACTCTGTGTGTGTGTGTGTGTGTGTGTGTGTGTGTGTGTGTGTGTGTGTGTTGGGGGAGGTGGGATTGTCCCCTGCCCAGCCCAGATCCAACTCCGAACTTTAGTCCCTTTCCTGCCGCCCTTCCCCCTGCCTGGCACTACGAGACTGGCCGCCCCGTCACCATGGTTACCATTGCTTGGTTACTGGTGGGAGGCGGGGCACGGGGCGGATTTAGCCAATCTGCACGCTGAGGGGGAGGGGCGAGGTCGGAGCCAAGGTCCCTGGGGGAAGGGGCTGTTCCCAGCCTGCTCTGAGCCCAGAGATGGCTCCCGGCCAACCCAGGGGTCAGCAGGCCATAGGGTTCCCCCGCCCCCTCCAAGTCGCCAGGCAAAGATCCCTGTCCTTGCTCCACACAGGCCCTTTCTCCTAATGGCTCATTAATTATTCAGGACCACATCTGGGGGGGGGGGGTTGGACTGGAGCTCCTGCCCTTTGTCCTCCCTGGTGGGGCTAGAAGGGCAAGAGGGAGGGGAGGTAGTCTCCCCCGGGGCGTGGGGGTGAGGAGTAGTGGGAGCACTGAGGTGCAGGCACTGAGAGGGCTGGACCAGCCGGAGCAGGGTGGGAATGGGGTGGCTGGAGACTGCTTGAGCCGTAGGGACAGGTTGGGGTAAAAGTCGTCTGGCGTCTCCCACATCGGCAGGGAGGCGAAGGCTTGTCAAGACTTAGGTGTGGTCAGTAGCCCTTGGACATTGTGGCCCTTGGACATTGTGGCCCTTGGACATTGCTCTCCCTCCCCCACCCTGGACGCTCGCAGGGCCTGCAGACAGGGAGCGGGAAGGCAGAGGGAGGACTGCCCAGCTGGGCTTTCGGAGTCAACACACATCCTGGGAGAATGACTGCCTCTCCCCCTGCTTCAGGCCCAGCGTGCCCCAACCTGCCCCCCTCACGCTCATCCCCTCAAACCTGCTCGTCTTCCTGTGTTTTCTCTCCTGGCGGCGCAAGGCATTACCACCCACCCAGCCACCCAAGTCAGAAACCTGGGCCTCCTCCAGCTCCTCCCTCTCTCGCTCCCCACCTCTAATCCATCACCGCGGCCTGTTGTCTCTACCTTCTAAGTATCTTTGGAATGCGCCCACTGCTCTCCCCGCTCCCTTCGCCCAAGCCACCCTCAGCTCTGGTCTGGGCTTTTGTGTGCAACAGCCTCCTCGTGGCTTCCTTGCCTCCCGTCTCCCTTCTCATCATCCATTCTTCGCCCCAAAGTAAAAGTCACGCTGCGAAATGCCAGATCATGTCACCCCCACCCGCAGGTTAAAACCCCTCACTGCCCTAGCTGGTTTGGCTCCGTGGATAGAGCGTCAGCCTGCGGTCTGAAGGGTCCCGGGTTCGATTCCGGTCAAGGGCATGTGCCTTGGTGCGGGCACATCCCCAGTGGGGGGGGTGCAGGAGGCAGGAGGCAGCTAATCAACGTTTCTCTCCCATCAGTGTTTCTGACTCTCTCCCCCTCTCTCTTCCTCTCTGTGAAAAATCAATAAAATATATTTAAAAGCCAAAACCGGTTTGGCTCCATGGGTAGAGCATCAGCCTGCAGACTGAAGGGTCCCGGGTTCAGTTCCAGTGAAGGGCGCATGCCGGGGTTGTGGGCTCCAGCCAATCAATGATTCTCTTCATTGATGTTTCCATGTCTCTCTCCCCCTTCCTCTCTGACATTAATAAAAATGTTTTAAAATAGTAATAGAAGCCCTCAGTTGCCTCTCTGTTGCCTTCAGGGTCAAGCCTAAGGGTCTCAGCTCTTCGTTAGGCCCTGCACTGTCAAGCATCCGCCAACCGTATCCTGCACTCACTCTGGACCCTCCCCTCCCACATCCTCTCCCCCATGTGGACCTCTCCCAGTTTCTCAGTTCCCCCCAGGTCTCTGTGCCTCTTGTTTCCTCTGCTTGGAACACTCCTCCCCATCCTCTTCCCTGGCCAGTTCCTGCTCAGCTGGAGCCATCACTTCCTCCGTGTGCTAGTCCTCTGTACTCCCCTCGGACTGCATGACTGTGACCGTCTGCTTCAGGTCTGCCTGTCCTACTGGACTGTGAGCTCTGAGGGATCAGGCCCTGTCCAGCTCGGATCCTGGTGAATGAAGGAAGGGATGGGCCCCGAGTAGAAATTGGTGCAGAGCAGAACAGTTTTTAGAGCAGAGCCTGAACACCTTCACGCTGGTCCCTTAAGAACCAGAGGTCAGGGTCTTGAATGTAGGAACCAGCCAGAGACACTGAAGTAGGTGAATTGGGCTCTGCTTCCAGGCAGAGAGCCATGGGACGGGGGCCTGGGTCTGGCCCCCCCGCTTTGGCCAGGCTGGAGCTGGGCTTGGGAGACTTCTTGCCAGGGGCGAGCCTCCCACGTGGACAGGGCTGCCGCCAAAGGTAGGGCGGGCACCCCAGAGAACCGACGACCGGAGCAGTGAAGCGTGGAGCGGACAAATGTGTTTCCATGGGCCTCCTAACGAGACAAATGAATGGGGGCCCTGGCCTCGGAGGGGAGCGGAGGGAAGGGAGGTGGAGAGGCAGCTGCCAGAGTTAGCCCAGGGGCCCCAGCATCGATGCCTAGTCAGATCCGAGGGAGACCTGGGCACCTGGGGCTGGGGCAATCCCCCCCAGCCTGGGGCTTTACGGCTTCTCCAGCGGGGGCTGTGGGGCCAGAGACGGCCCAGAGCAGGAGGAGGTTTCTGCTGATCTGCCATGCGGGGAAGAACCCACACAGGCCTGCCTTCGGAGCCTGAAGTGTGGGTTGGGAGCTGGGACCTGGCTGGGTACAGAGGCAGTGACCTAAGGGTCTTGGGAGACTTCCTGGGAGACTTCCTGGAAGAGGGGGAGCCCCTGAAGGGTAAGTGGGCATTTGCTAATTGGGGTGTGTGTGTGTATCACATAACGAGATGAGATTGGAGGAAGAAGCACTGGTGGGCCTAGGCTTCTCCATGGAGCTCATGGGAGAGCCTCTGTGAGAGCCATGCCCCGTTTGCCCCCAGACCCTATGGGACAGACAGGGATGCAGGGGACCTGGTTATGGCTCCGTTACTTGGAATCTTAGGAGCCAAGAGTAGGATGCCCGATGGCTGGAGGGGCAGGTGGTGGGTGGGCACAAGGGTCTGAGTAGCAGAGGATGTGTCTGTCATATCATCCCCTACCCCCACCCCAGCCCACCCCATTGCCTGTGGAGCTGGAACACGCTGAGTGCTGCCCGCAGCGAGGACCTGGACTCCCGTCTAGACTCTGCCCTCTGTGGGACTTCCAGCAGGTTGTTTTCTCTCTCGGGGCCTGCTTTCCTATTGCGCAACGAGGGCAATCACTGAACAGGCTAACCGAGGTCACCTGTTCCCGGCACCTGGCACCTAGTGTGTAACTTCCCCCATCGGAGACCATGACCCAGGGCTCCCTGAGTGTCCCCCAAAAACCCAGGGTTATCTTTGAGCCTGCTTCCTGGGTGGGGGGCAGGGGCGGTCACCGGAGCCGGGACTAATGAGTCCCCAGCTCATTAGGCGGTTCAGGGGCCTGGGAAACCACCTCCCCGGAGCACCCTCCCCTGCCTGGCAGTCCCTCGCTGCCGTGTGTCTGCCCTCTGCTTCCGTGTGCTGTTGGCGCCGTGTGTACGGGCGCTCCGCAGGGAAGGCACAAAATAGCAGCGAGTCTCGGTGGAGGAGCTTTGGAGGTGGCCCCGTGTGGCTGTCCCCCAGGGTCCGGCTGCCCACCCGCTCCCAGGCCAGCCCACCGTTGCCTCTGGCCCACCTTGCATGGTCTCCGCAGCCCCAGGGTTTCTGGGTGCTGAGCAGGCTCCCACAGGCTTGGGGGTGGGACGCCCGAGCGGGGCAGGGCACACACAAAGACAAGGAGGTGCCCACGGGCCTGGCCTGTCGGAGCAGGCCTGGGTGGGGGGCTGAGCCGTGTTCCAGAGCAGTACGTGGCCCGTGGCAGGTGCTGTTTTTTTTTTGAAGGAGTCAAGATAGGGGAACCTGGAGAGGTTAGCAGGAGCGAGAGTGGGGAAGGGAGTGGGGAGAGAGACAGACACAGGGCTTGGAGCTGGGGGGAGAGACACTGTCGAGTTTCTGCTACCTGCTTACAGGTCTGCCTGGTGAACAAAAGGGGCTTTGGGACGGGGATGAGCTGGAGTTTGTTTTGGCTCCTGTGCAGTGCGAGGTGCCCTTGGGTGGGGGGGACACGCGGGGGTGCTGAGGAAAGCCAGAGCCGGGCCAGACGGAGGGGAGGGCCCGGCCCCCCCTGGGCTGCCCGAGGCTTGGGCTGCCCTGCCAGTCTTGCCAAACGCTGGTGGGTGGGTGGCCAGGCGGGGCACTGGCCCCGCTTCAGGCCCCACGGGGTGTTCTGCCTCCTCCGTGGCCCCGGGCCTTGGGCCCCGTCCAGCCTCCACACGGTACGGAGGCCTTTCCCCTTCTCGCTCTCTCCTGACCCGTACCTGTCTGAGAGCCACGCCCCAGTTTCTGGTTCTTTGTTTGGCGCGGAGGCCCCGCCCCCGGGCGCGCTCGCCTGGCCATTCTGGTTCCGCAGGTTCCGGCTCGGGTTTCTGTGCAGGCGGGCGCGCGCGCGAGGGAGCCAAGAAGGGCTTCTACCCGGGCTTCTCTCGCTGGTGGAGGGGGCTCCCCGCGGGGTGTGAGGGGCTGCAGACTCCATTCCCCTGACCCCCCTCCCCCAAGCAGGCCCCCTTTAAGGTGACCAGACGTCCCGCTTTGGGCGGGACAGTCCCGATTTTTAACAATTTGTCCCGCGTCCCGCAGCGTTTAAAAAAAAAAAAAAAAAAAAAAAGTCCCGATTTTGGGGGGGAAATCGGGACTGTCTGGCCCAAAGCGGGACATCTGGTCACCTTACCCTTCTTGCCGGTTGCCTGTTCACTTGTTCTGCACCCCTGCCTGCGTGCACTGCCACAGGACAGGAGGCAGAGGGAGGCAAGGCAGGGTGCCTGCCCTGCCCAGGGCTATTGTCCTGTGTGGGGAAGTGAGCCATGACTCAAATGTTCCCCAAAATGTGGAAAAAGGCGATAACCTTAACACACGCACACCACAAACGGTGAGCGCAGGGCTCTGAGGGAGGCAGGTGGGGTGACCAGAGAGCTCGTAGCCAGGAACTGAGCTAATGGAGGAGGTGGGGACCAGGACAGGGGGACCGAAGACCATTTCCTGAGGAAATGACTTTTCAAATTGAGTTCAGAAAAAGGCAAACAGGAGTTGGCGGGGAAAGAGGTGTGTGGGAGAGGACCAGCCTTATGCCAAGGCCCCGGGACCGCGGGGGACATTGCTTCCCCAGGGGCTGGAGAGCCAGGGCTCCGGGGTCAGGCCTGCCCCGGCTCTGTCTGCCAGGACAGTTTACGTTTTGTTTGGAGAGTGGCGGGAGGCCTTTGGAAAGTTTCGGTCAGGGAAGAGAGGCTGTGCCTGCACCCTGGCTGCTGAATAAAGAACAGACTGGAGGGGGCCAGGCTAGAGGCAGGAACATTGCCTGTTGGCTGGTGAAAGGTCCAGGCGGGGGAAAGGGTGCCTGGGCCCAGGAGGAGAGGAGGATGGTCTGGAGGTCCTCGGGGGTGAGGAAGGGTGCACAGTGTGTGTAGTGACGGACAGGAGGTGCCCCCCACCCCCGCCCTGAAGGAGCTGGGTGGACAGAGTCCTATTCGCCTATCTGGAAGAGGCCTGAGGACCTATCTGACAGACAGGCGGAGCCGAAACCGGTTTGGCTCAGTGGATAGAGCGTCGGCCTGTGGACTGAAGAGTCCCGGATTCAATTCCCGGTCAGGGGCATATACCTTGGTTGCGGGCACATCCCTAGTGAGGGGTGTGCAGGAGGCACTTGATCGATGTTTCCCTCTCATCGATGTTTCCGACTCTCTATCCCTCTCCCTTCCTCTCTGTAAAAAGTCAATAAAATATATTAAAAATAAATAAATAAATGAAAAAGGCTGAGCAGACAGCTGCAGACTGGGGGGCATCCAGAGCCTCCTTCAGAGGATGGTCGGGAGAAGGGTGGGATGGACAGGCTCCCTGAACCTTTGTGCTGTCCCCATGCCATCGTCCCCACCAAGCGTGTGTGTTTCCCCACCGGGGCCGTGCCTGGCTCCTCTGGCCCCTCAAAGAGCAGCCCGGGGAGTCCCCGACTTCAGGATTCGGAACGCCAGATCCAGCCCTGGCTCTGCCCCAAAATCACTCTGCGACTTGTCCTTTCGTTAACCTCCTGAGTCTCCATTTTAGAAATGGGGATGATAATACAACCTACCTCCCGGGATTGTTTTAAGACGTACAATGCCGGGGCCGCCCTCACGCACGGCCCACGAGGGAGCAGTGTGCAGACATCACATCTCGTCTGCACAGACCCTGCCGCCAGCACCAGTGTGCCGATGAGGAAACGGAGGCTCCGAAAACACGCTTGGCTTAGAAATTACATAAACGCTCTGGAACCCCCTGGGCCCCGAGGTGCTCAGGGAGATGGCTAAGCCCTCCTCGCCCTCTGTCCCTGCAGCTTCACTCCTGACCCTGTGCTCCCCCGGACCCCTCCCCTCCTCAGGAACCTGCCCCACCCCCTGCCCCATCCTTCGTCCCTCCTCCCTCCACTGGACTGGCACCCTCTCCCTCTCTGCTGGCTCCTTCCCATCAGCAGTTAATCATTGTCTTTTACTTCTTGGAAAAGAAGAAAATGCAAAACATCTCCTCCAGCCCTCATGCTCTCCAGGTGCCATATTTTCTTTATCTTCCCTGTGTACAGCCACTAATTCTTCTCTCCGCTTCTTCACCTCACACTCCCTCCTCGGCCTTCTCTGGTCTGGCTCTGGCACCCACCCCACCACGGACCCAGCTCTCGACGAGGCCCCCACTCATACCGTTTGAGAGCTGTTTTGTGCCTGGTGTTTTGGAATCAAACAGGCTTGAATTCCAGTCTCAGATGTGCCGCTCCTTGGCTGTGTGACCTTGGACAAGTGGCTTGACCTTTCTGAGCCTGTAACGGGGGGTGGGAGGGTGGTAATAATCATGAGATAAAGTGCCTGGTGCAGAGTGGGTGCTTAGCGAAGTATTGTCGTCATTGCACACACACACACACACACACACACACACACACGTCTCAGTGCCAGGGACCCGGCCAAGCCTGGGTGCATCCGCACCGAGCAGGTGGACTGAAAGGTCATTTCCCACGGTATTAGCCTTCCTGGAGCTGCTCATTGGCCTGATTAATAGAAAATGGATCCTCTGTCAGGATTAACGAGGTGTTGCTACGTCTTAGTAAAGCCCCGGTTTCTCTGGTCTTGTGACCCTGGGTGCTGGGGTTCGCAGGGATTGGTGCTCGGGGGGGGGGGGGTTGGAGGGGGGCTCCTGGTGATGTGGGCATGGCAGTCCAGTGGCTGCACCCCCTCCTCTCCCTGCCTCCCTCCCCGCCTCCCTGTGGACACTTTGGGGAGACAGCCAGGCTGTCCGAGGCAATAATCCTGTCAGTGGGGGCAGGGTGAGGGGGCAGATTTACAGGAAAGCATTCACCTGGGAAAACGTCCAGCGATACTTAGGAGGTGGAATGTCTAGACCTTTGGGACTGGCGGTAGGTGGGGGCCGGAGGAGAGGAGGGGCCGTGGTTTCTCGCTTGAGCTTTGGTGTGGATGAAGGTACCGGCACTGAGGTGGAAAGCATTTGGCGGGGGGGGGGGGGGGGGGTGCAAATCTGGGGGAGATGCTGGGGCTGTTCCTGGCAGCTCTCAGCATGCCTTTGTCCTAGAGCTTGGAATTGATGGGGGCATGGGAGACAGATAGGTAGCAGTTAAAGCGTAGACTCCAGACTCGGAATGTCTGAGTTCAAATCTTAGCTCTGCCACGAACCCGCTGTGTCACATTGGGCAAATCCGCCCCTTAAGCTCTCTGTGCCTTATTTTCCTTCTTTATAACCAGAGGTCATTATAGCACCCGCCTTACAGCTGTTTGAAGTGTGCCCGGCACAGAGCACTGGATAAGAGTTAGGTGTGGGTGTTATTTCTTCTGTAGGTCTCTTTTGCCCGGACCCCATCCCCGTGACTGCCACCTAGTGTTGGCCATGTCTATAGCGACTGTCTGGTGCTGACTTGGTCTCTCCGTCTCTCTCCAGGCAAACCTGTCTTCATTAAGGTCCCCGAGGACCAGACCGGGCTGTCGGGAGGGGTGGCCTCCTTCGTGTGCCAAGCCACAGGGGAGCCCAAGCCGCGTATCACATGGATGAAGAAGGGGAAGAAAGTCAGCTCCCAGCGCTTCGAGGTACGCCCTTGGGTGGGAGGTGTAGATGGGGCTCAGGGTCTGCCCACTGCAGAGTCTGACTCACATCTGCCTCCCTCTCTGGGGGCCTCTTGGAGGCAGGAGGATGGCTAACCCAGAGCAGGTTGTGACCGAGTGTCTGCCCTCTGACAGGTCATCGAGTTTGATGACGGGGCAGGGTCTGTGCTGCGGATCCAGCCACTACGGGTGCAGCGCGATGAAGCCATCTACGAGTGCACGGCCACCAACAGTCTGGGAGAGATCAACACCAGTGCCAAGCTCTCGGTCCTGGAAGGTAAGTGCCAGGGAAGGACATGGCATTGGGGGGGTGAGGGGTGGACTGGTGTCTGGGAAGAACCAGCCAGCCAGCTCTGTCCCTGCCCTGGGCTGGTGTGTGTGTGGCAGGAAGGAGCACTGGGCAGTGGACAGGGATGGTCGCTGGATCTGGCCTGGATTGTTTGGCTTGTGCTGAGGCTGTGTGCCTAGTGTCTGTATTCTGCTGCGATGGGGAACTTTATCTGGGGGGGAGGGGTCTAGGGTCTGACTTGAAGTGTAGGCTACAGCTGTGAATCGCTTGGGTTTCATGGCTCTCCGCTGTGGGTCAGGCTCTCCTGTGGGCTTCAGAGAGCCGGGTTCCTGTCGCAAGGGCCCTAGGTGGGGATTGGGGCTGCGTGTGGATTTTAGCGTCTTCTCTCACTGGATGGCTCCTCCGTGCGTTCACAAACATCCCCTAATGCTGCCTTGTATCCGGAGGGTCTTCTGGCCAGGCCCTCTGAATGTCAGTCTCCAGGGAGTGCTGTGGGGCAGCCCAGGGGACTGGGGGAGCCCAAGGGGAAGGGAGCTGTTGTCTCAGCTGACCTCCGAGGATAAGAGGGAGTTGAGGTGGGCAGGCAGAGAGAACAGCATCAGCATGTGCCAAGGCCCAGAGGCAGGAGAAAATGGCGCTCCTTGATGGTGTGTGGAGCTGGAGGCACAGAGAAGAAGGGGAAGAGCAGTTAACACATTCCTGGGACATAGGAAGCCGTGAACAGGGTGGGGAGTGACATGATCAGCCTCAGTCAGCCACCATGGATTCATCAGTCTGTATGTGCCTGCGTGGACTTTCAAAATACAGTATTGATTGTTGATTTTTTAAAATAATATTATAATAACATCTGTTCACTATTGAATATTTGATAAGTATAAAATAGTGCATAGGAACAAAAATAAGAATCGCCTGTTACCCGTACCTCTCCTATTAACATTTGGTTAGTTCCTTATAGTCCGTTCTCTTTGCATGCATTCTATGAATAACAAAAATGGGATCGCATCCTGCCCGATGATTTGTAGGCTGCTTTTTAAAGAAACCTATCGTGAGCATCTTCCTCTTCATTAAGTGTTCTTCCACATCACTATTTTTAATGGCTTGTGGGTACGTGTCATGTGGAAGTACCCTAATTTATGGAGCCGCTCCCTGATTGTTGGACACATCATGGTGTTCCCAGGTTTCTGCTTTTACAAATAAGGTGCTGCACTCGTCCTTGCAGATAGGATGTGTTCGCCTTCCCGGTTATTTCCTTATTCCGCATTCATGGGACTGGAACTGCCGGATCAAAATGGCACACTCGTTTCTAAGAATTCCAATATTTCCGGAAGATTGTGTCAGTTGACACCCCCCACCAGGCAGGTCATAAGGGGCCTCTTTTCTGCACATTCTTACCAGCAGTGCGAATTGTCAGTTAAAAAAAAATCTTTGCCTAGTTAATAGGCAAAAAATGGCATCTCAATTTAATTTGCATTTCTTTGATTACAAGAGCAGTTGAGCCTCTTTTCACGTTGGCCATTTTGATGCTATGGCTTCCCGGGTTCATGCACGCCTGCACTCAGCAAGGCCTTCGGTCCGTGGGCCTCCCGTGAGGCAGGGCGGGGCCTCCCGCTTCAAGGGGCCGTGGGAGACGGGGGTGAAGGCAGGGGCTCTGACCCTTTACTCTCTCACCTCGTGATCTCGGGCAAGTAACTGCGCCTCTGAGCCTCGCTTGCTCCACCGTAAATAGAGGCGCACTGCCTCGCGTCCGGGCTGGTTGGGAGGGTCGGGTAGGATGTAGTTAAGCATTTCAGAGGATGCCATCATGTTGGGCTAGACGCTGCACAGCCTGGGGCCCAGGCAGCTGGCTGAGCTGGCGGCCCCTGGCTTCCGTGCCGCCTGGCATTGTCCGGTGGTGCAGCCCCTACCTTTTACTCCCACGGGTGGTACCTACCCGTGGGGTGGAGGCCCGGAGGACAGGCCCTGGGCCAGGATCACTGATGGCTCAGTGTTCTGACCTGGCCACCCCTGACCTCAGTTTCCCCGCTTATGACCTGAGGACCAGTATGTCAGCACGGCCCTTCCTTCTGTTGGTGTCTGCCCTGGCAGGGAGCCACCGGCCCAGCCCCGGCGTTTGGGACATGGCTTGAAGAGCCAAACTCTGGTTCCTGCCCCAGACGGCATCTTCTCAGGCTTTTGGCATCCTCTCAGGCTCTTGTATCGGGGAAAGGGCCTCCTTGTTAGTGTGAGAAGTTCCCCCTTTGCCCCAGCTCTGGCCTGACTCCCCACAGGTCTTCTGTGGGCACACCTACCCCCCCCCCCCCCCACTGCCCTGGGCAGCTTTAACTTTGAAAGGATTGAGGAGGAAGAGGAGGAGGAGGATCTTTTAGGGCCTGAGGTGAGGGGGATTCAGACTTGCAGAGGGTCTTCATCCCAGGGGGTGGGGGGGCCTTCTCGGATCAGGGTTTCTCTAGCAGGGTCTGGGGTACGTGTGTGCTTCTAGCGTGTGAGAGATTCTGCTGATGTTTGGGAGAGGGAGGCAGGTCCTTCTGGCCTCTGTGAGCCCCTCCTGCTCCTGAAACACAGCACCCGGAAGACAAAGTGCTGACTTACCACGTTGGTCTGTGTAACCTTGACCAGCTCTAGGCTCGGCAGAAAGGAGCGGATCCGGAGGCCTCTGAGGTGCCAGGGGGTGGGGCCAGAGGAAAGCAGCCCAGACTGTGCCTGCCCCGCCACCCGTCCCGCCCCACCCTGCCCCTCCTGGCCTCCTGTGCCCGCCAGGAAAGCCCGGTGTGTGTGTAGGAATGACTGGCGCTTTGGGCTGTTGCCAGTCGCCACACGCTGGGCTCTTTGAGGGAGTGGCTCGGGGCTGCCCAGGGAGACCCGGCTCTGCTGAGGGGAGCTGGCGCCGCCTGCCAGTTTGTCCCGTGCCCCCCGGCCCCACCCCGCCCCGCCCCGCCCCGCATCTGGCCCAGCTTCCCTCACCCTCCGCTCCGCCAGGGCTCCGGGGAGCGCCCTGAGCGTGGCCTTTGCACCCCGCTCCCCGGCAGAGTGCCTGCTGCCCGGCGATGCCCGGGCGGCGGCTCGGCAGCACGCTGGCCGGGGGCGAGCCCGTCCTGGGCTGAGGAGCGCGGGGCCCGCCGCCCAGCGTTCCTGTCTGAGTGGTAATTGAAGCCATTAGCGAGCTAGCCTCTCCCTCGCTGGGTAATGGCAGGAAAAGCTCTTCTCACTCCGCGCTCTCGAGGCGGCTGAATCACTCCCCCTCCAGCCCGCCCCGCTGCCACCACTGAGACAGGAAATCTGACATTTTCCCTCTCGAGGGAGGGGGAAGGGAGCAGGCCGTGCTGCCGGGCCTTTCCCTCCAGAGGAGGGGCCGGGGAGGGTCCTGGAGCTCAGTTAGGGGGTCACGGAAGAGGAGAGGGGATTTCATCCGGGCCAGTGGGGTCCAGGCCAGGCAGCAGAGGTGTGGGCAGGGCCCTGGTAACTGGAGTGGGTTCTGGAAGGGCCAAGGAGGAGGGAGAAGTGGAGGGGGAAGGGCTAAGGGACACAGATGATGTTTCTGACTCTGTCCCGGGGGGTCTGGCTCTAAGGGCGCTGGGTGCAGGCGGCAGCGTTAGCCTTCGGTCATGGATACAGCAGACAATGATAGTGTGCCCTCCGAGTGGTGCGGGTGCCCTGGGTGCCACGTGTGAGGCAGCGTGTGTGCGGTGCGGTGTGTATAGCAGGTGTGTGCCTCACAGGGGGTGTGTATAGCAGGGGAGGCGCGGCAGACTGTGTGTGTGAGCGAGTGTGCATCAGGCATGTGTCTGGTGTATACAGCAGGTGGTGTGAGGAGCACAGAGCCTGCCATCATGCAGTGCGTGTGGCCACCAGACTGGGAGTGTGGTGTGTACAGCAGGTGGTGTACGTCACACTGTGTGTGTACGTGTTGTACGTGTGGTGTATGTGCAAATACGAGGTCCGCACCTTGCAGGCCACATGTACAGCAAAGGGCTTATGAAGCGAGCAGTCTGGGCCCGTTGTCTCCGCGGCCCCACGGGATCCCTGCTCGGGGCTGTGGACCAGCGGGGACAGAGAAGAACTCAGGACAGGGTGATTGGTCTGACCACTTCGTTACCATCGTGACCACAGCAGCTTCGGAGACAATGCAGAGCTGAGTCGAGCACCCACTTGCCGGAGAGTTCCGTGCCCCGGCCTGTGGGTGGGAAAGGTGTCAGGTAGGAGGCACTTACAGGAGGCCCTTGAAGTTCAGACTCTGGATTTCTTGATACCAGGTTTCCCATTTTTTCTGCCTTCAAAACACCCAAGGGGAGCCCAGCCCATAGGCTCAGTGGTTGGACATCAATTTATGAGCCAGGAGGTCAGGGTTCAATTCCCCAGAGATCAATACCCAGTAGGGGGCGTGCAGGAGGCAGCTTGTTAGTGATTCTCTCTCATTGATGTTTCTTTTTTTTCTTTTTCTTTTTTTTTTTTAATTATATTTTATTGCTATTTTACAGAGAGGAGGAAGGGAGCGAGATAGAGAGCTAGAAATGTCAATGAAAGAGAAACATCGGCCAGCTGCCTCTTGCACACCCCCTATTGGGGATGTGCCTACAACCAATGTACATGCCCTTGACCGGAATCGAACCTGGGACCTTTCAGTCCATAGACCAATGCTCTACCACTGAGCCAAACCGGTTTCAGCTCATTGATGTTTCTATTGCTCTTTCCCTGTCTCTTCCTCTCTGAAAGTAATTTAAAAATATATAGGTATATATTTTTAAAGGCCCAAGTAGGCTTCCTTCTGCTTCCTGTGAGTGGGCAGAACATCTACCTCCCCTTAGCCACAGACACATCAGGCACCTCACCAGTGCCCACCATGGTCCTCCTACCCCTCCAGTCACAAAGATTTCCAAAGCCTTGCTGTGTGCACGGCCCCCTCACTACCCTCTTTCCAGCCTCATGACTGCAGTGTAGTTGGCAGCTCTGGAGCAGGTCGCCAAGGTGGAGGTTTTGAATGGCCCTGTGTG